ACATTCTCAACTGTTACATGAATTTGTGACGCAAGAATGGCAAAAGTGAAAGCCGTGACCTTCCGCATCTTGCATGACAGACTTGGCACAGATTCTCAGCCTGTTTCGCATAATTTCGGGAGTTTGTCATGCGAAGTAGCTTGATCGCGTCGATTATGATGGTCTGCATGACAAACCATGTAACAGTTGAGAGTGTAAAAACATTTGAGAACGCCATAAACGATGGGAGGAGGTTGTGCAGTTGTTTTCGGCATCGCTCTCCAAGCCGCACTAGTACTAGCTGCCCCGCCTTTCTGTGTAGTCGCGGCAGAAGTAGGACCAAAACAACTCCCCGAAGTAGTGGACGATAGCGGGGGGCCTGTAGTGAGATGATTCAAAAATTTTCACTCTTCAATACCATGACGCACGCATCTTCGTGTGGATTCGCTTGAAGAATATGCCAAGATGAACCCGGCTTGGTTCACAACAACATATATTCCACACTTCTACATCTGCGACTTGTTACTCAAAACCGTAATTCTTACTAGTACAACTTCGGAGAGGGAGGGCTTTGATGCTTATCCTTATGCATGAGAAAAAACTTCTAACAATTCCTTTTCCTTACCTTGCCCAGAAGCGTAGTTCGCGGTTCCTCCTTTACAGGTCGGCTTCCCGCCCTCCTTCCCAGCGGAACCGAATTTTTGAGTAAAGGTTCCCCAAATCGCACTGTCAAAAGCCATTTGTAAAATATCGAGCCGTCAGGATCGAAATCGACAAAGCTGAAAGAGCAAATAATTTCCAATGCATAAAGTCGACACCACCACTTAGTAGTCCAAGCGCCGGCGCATGATGACAAATTTATAGCTCCACTTTGTCATTCTGTTTGGAGGACAAAGCAAGCATCTTTATTTTTCATACAATACTTTAATAGCAGCTCTATCCGCAATAGACCCAAAGAAACGGCCTTGTATACAAAAATCGCCCTCATTTGCGTGCCCTCCAACTACACAGGCAGTCTGTGCATGATTGCTGCATTTTATGCATTATACAATTTTTTTCAACTGTCGACTTCGATCCTGACACTGCCATACTCCTCTATAGTTGCGAACGATGGCTTGCCTGTGGTCAGATACAATTTTTGTTTTTCCACTCTTCAACAACATGTCCTTTTCAATTACACCATGAGGCATGAGCATGACGTGTCAGAAATACATAAACCTCCAGCGTCATTTGTTATCAGAATGTGGTTCGGCGGGATTGGTTTAATACTTTACAACTTATTATTACACCTACAACTTACTCAAGAACGTAGCTAGTTGTCTACCCGGACTACTTATTGGCAGCTTTATGCAAGAGAAAAATTCATTCCTTACCTTTTCCTTTTCCTTTTCCAGTAAAGACCCGTTTCGCGGCTGTGGCGATGCTATCGTCTTCAGTACGATCGTGGTCAACAGCCCGCTCGCGTTTGTTTCCTCCAATGCCTTTGACGTTAGTTCTCTGTTGGGCTGCATCATCAGACTTCTTGATCGGAACCAAAAACTCATCGGTCTCCCACGATCTTATGCATACAGAAAGATCAATCTGGCTCTGAAATTTGAACTTGTGACACTGAGCTCCGTTGGACGAATAAACCAACAATTTTTAGTGTGGCCAAGCACGACAGCAGATTATTTTTACTTACTTCTCAGTAGAACACTTTATTGTCATTCGTGGCTCCAATTAGTACTAGAAACTGCGTTTTATTGCGACGTGAAAAACATAACAGAGGTGGGGGCTTATGCAATACAGGCACAGGAGGCTCTGCAAGAATTATGCAAGAAGTAGCCGACCAGCGTTGCAAAAGTACTTGTTCCACTTTTTTTCATTCCAGACCCAGACCACACATGATTTGCCCAGTGGATAAATTTCTTGCGATCGCCGAGAGATGCAGGATCAGCACCAGCAGCATGAGCACCTTCAGCATGCACGAGACCACCGGGAGGACCGACGAGGCCCCGCGAGGACGCCAGTCCTCCTCCTCCTATGAACTGCAAAAGTATCGCACTCGTATAAACGCATTGCAAATTTCCTCAGCGTCAGAAATAAAATTTGTAATGCTGATTTCCCGTAAGAAAAAGATCTGTAATGCAAGACTTGCATTTCTACAAATACGATACTTTTGCACAGGATACCTCCTCCTCCTCCTCCTCCTCCAAAGACGCTACTAGGTTTGGCCTTCCCCACCCCAAAAGGACCCCGAGTACCACCACCGCTGCTTTTCGCGGTAGTTTGAAGCGGCGGTATTGAAAGTAGGTTCGCGGGCTTCGAAGTGGGCGGCGAAAATTTCGAGGAGGTGATGGGGGTGGGCAAGAAGTCCTCGGCACTGGTGTCGGGCTGTAGGTTATTGTTTGCGGACGAACGCTATCAAATGCAAATATGTCGGGGTCTGGAAGTTTGTCATGCAGATTTTGCATGACTCACGATGGCTGTGATGCAAGCCGTAGCATCACAGACTCTGCGAGGACTTTCTGATGCCCATACCGCATGAGAAATTCCCTCTTCGCGTAGCGAAAAACTGGACCTTTTATGCTGTTCATCATGCAATACAGATTTTATGTAAAATCCAAAGGTAGCATCACAGGTTGCATTCGTCCAGACCCAGACATATTTGCAATGCATAAACGCGGCGGGGGCGGCCCGCCCCGCGTAGTTGTCCGCGGGAAGGTCGAATTCGACTCACTGTTCATCGCCATTTGACTTGGGAAAATAAATCAGGTAGTTGTACGTGGTAAATACTTGGGGTGTAGAATTTATTTTCGAAACTGATAAAAATCATACGTAGTGATAAAGGTAGTTTGGGGCAGCTCTTAGTTGTCGGTAATACTCAGAAGTCGACGTATTGTTGAAGAATAAATATAAAGGCGATGTGAAATGTAATTCACCGAATCTAGTTGGTCGACAACGGAAAAGTAAAATAGAAACACTGTCGTTCTACGAAAAGGGTGTAGTACATCAATACTAACTCGACAGGTTCGGAGAAACAACACAGCAACTGGACCGAATCGGATGAATACAACTGATCCTGCTCCAGTCGGTGCAGCTGCCCTTCGAAAAATCGCAAAAAAATCTACTTTAGATCAGAAACAATACGCGAGAACTATTACCTGACACAACCGATAAAATAAATGTCTTTTTTCAATGGTTGTAGGAAAAGTGGTTTTAGTTGTTGTCCTTTTTTCACAGGCTTTCGAAACAGGGATTTTTCTTGAAGTAGCGCTAGAGGAAAAAGGTGTGTAAACGCGTTCCCACCTTCCCGCATGAGAACAAACAAACAAACAAACAAACAAACAAAAAGAATAAATTATCTGTCAGTATCAATAAGGTCGTACCGCAGAAAGAAACAAAAGGTAATTTTTTGGGAGGAATTGGTTGTGCTATCATTACTGGCTCTTTACTAGTTTTCCTTTTGAGTTTTCAACATCTGAACTCGATAAATTGGAACAAAAAAAGAACAAGTATAGAATGACTTTTTTGCGACGGAAAACCGAGGTGCTGCTGTAGCCGTAATAGGCAACACTTACTTACTAGTTCTTGATGTTCTACCTTTATTGATTTTGTGAGAAGAGCAAAGTGCGGCGTACTAGGAAGACCAAAAATCGAACTTTGAAGTTTAACATAGACACAAAATATACTTTCGAATATATATCCAAAACTACGCTGCCCCCTCGAGTGAGACGGCAACACGTTTTGAAAAAAAAAATATATTGCCTAGCAGAAACTTTCACAAGCCACAGAAAACTCGTAAACTCTTCTTGCTGAGAGCAGGTACCTCCTAATAAATATTAATCGAAAAAGTATTTCGAATGAATCCAGTTGCGGTGCGGAATACTTTACACACGAGTGCGCAACATCAACTAAATACTACTACTCTGGGAGGTTGATAGATACGATAGTTCTTTTGTTTGTCGCCGAATCCGAATGATTTTTATTGTGAACCACGAGCAAAAGTAGTGTCGCCGTTTTTAGTTTCGTATGTGAAGAAGTAAAAGCCAATGCTGAGATAAGAATAAGATGGCCTACTTTCAAAACATACCGTTTTTTTGTTGTTTTTTTGTTTGTTTTCGTTAGTTTTTTTTTGTTCTTGATGGTCATGTAGTGCGTCGTTTTTAAAGGCTGGTCATGTAGTACTCCTTTTAGAATGATACGGGAAGGCTAAGGCAACATAGCATAAGAAGCACAAGTTTCTTAGCACATGACAACCTCTATCCTTTCCTATTTTTTTTCGATCAATTTGGACTGCAAGCAGGAGGTTGATATTCGGCAACATTGAGAATGATGGTGAATTCAACCAACAGCGTGCTGTGTACGTATGTACGGATGGAACAACATTGTTCGTCCTCTACTAGATGGAAAAAATGCGGTGGCTATTGAAGCCAGCACATCAATCAATGAAACAACTGCGCACGTGCGTGGCTAAAAAAACCACATCCATGGAACAAGTTTGCACACCATCCTTCTAGTGCAGGAGTACCTCAAAGAACTAACCGTACTGGATGATCCTATCCACTTCGAGGCAAAAAATTGGGAAAGAAGCCTCTTTGCTGTGCGCCAGCAACAGGTGGATCTTGTCCGCCGCGTGGACTCCTCTTTTCAACAAGTCTTTCTCTTGTCCGCGTCAAATCGGGAAATAATGATCATGATTCAGTCGCTTGCTTGCGCCTAGTTGAGTTCTCACATCGCTGAGCATGCCACTTCACCATCACCTTCACACCACCTTTAATATCAGCATCATTCTTACACCGGCACTACAGAAGCCGCAATCATCTTTTTCTACATCTAGCTCATCATCATCAACAGGGCAGGGGTGCTTCTGCAAAGTGCAGATGATGACGAGAGCAGAGGGATCCGCTTGTTGTTGAAGTCGCTTAGTTCCTACTTACATCCGTAGGAACAAAGTAGAACGGCTTGCTTTTTCCTCTGAAATGAACACACCAGCAGCAGCGCTCGGCCTGCTTTTCCAAATTTAAATTCTTGCACAACATATCGCTTTTGCCAATTCAAAAGTATGTTGCTTGTCCATCATCAATTATCGCTATTAGATGCGGGTCGCGTTGTATGTGACTTCACTCCCAGTCTTTCATTCGATTCTTTTCAACGCAAGGTGTAGGCCAACAAGCGCACTGGTCCTATATCCACCCTTCACGTAGTCATAGCATAATATGCGCAACAAGTACAGAATTCCAATCCGTTTGCGTGATAGCAGCACGTTGTCGCGTAGAGCGTTACTAAAAAAGCAGGTGAAACCATTTTCCTATCCTTAGTCGAACAACCATAGTGCGGTGCAGGTACTCGTACTTACTATCTGTATTGTTCGAAGATAAAATCGTCCTTTTCGTGGTTTAACTAGATTATGTCGCGAGGGTCGTCTCTATGTTTGTGCAGTAAAATAGACTCGATCTATCTCGTACTCGTCTCAACCAAACATTTTTCCGTACATCTTTTGTGCCTTTTTCTTCTGCTCCGCTTGTGCTCTCTATGACAGTGCACAACCCCCTTCCCCTTGTTTGTCATGCAAAATGCCAAGTCCACCCTTTGCCCTGTGGCACTGTTTGCATGACAAGTTCTGGTAGCCGAAACAGCACTAAAATCCAGTGCAACTTTGTCATGCAGATCCGGCATTTTTGTTGATGCTTGTAGTAATTCGTATTGCTGTTCATGCTATACAAATGATGGGCGGGAGGAGGGGTTGTGCACTGTCATACTCTCTCCAGCTTCTTATCAAGTTTCGTAAATTCCGCGTTTGATTCGTCGATACTGAGTCCCAGTTTCGAGCACTTTCTCGCCGAGTCAATGTCGCCAAGCTTCTCCAACGCGGTGGCCTTTCGAAACAGAGCCTTGACGTTCTTTCCGTCAATGTCAAGCGCGGAATCGCACTGGCGAACGACTTATGCATATGCAAACATGTCTGCGTCTCGAACAAGATTCTGAGATTTGTCATGTAGTTCTTCCAAGCTCCGCCAAGTCTGTGATGCAGGGCCTATACATGATCACAGGTTCTGGAGCCCCTTGGAGGTCGTCATGCCTGTGCTGCATGAGAAATGTCCGGTCAGCATGGCCAGAAGTGCGCACCTACTTTTGCAAGCCATGCATCAACACAGATTTTTGTATGATCCGCAACACGCATCACAAGTTCGCGTCCTTCCCGATGTCTGAGACATATTTGCGTTTGATACGACTTTCTGACAAAGCTGCAGCTGCACGTCCTTGGAAGCCTGCTGGTCGACCTGTTTAGTTAATCATGCGATATACACATCTCATCAATTTTTAGAGTTGTAAATCGGCGTAACAAATTTGAATTTCCTTTGTAAAAATGCTAAACAAACTTAATTTGATTGTGACGCGATTTCTAAACCATCCACAGAAATCAAAATTCTACCCCCTTCAAATAGCACATCGCGGTGTTCAGGTAGCAGGACAAGCCGATTTTGTCTTTTTCTTCCGTGTCTTCCGGACTCAAATCGAACAACTTCGACAGGTTCACGTGCGCTTTCTGGTACCGCTGGATGGCTTCCTGGTAGACCCCAGCCTTAAACAGCTCGTTCCCCTCAACCCGTTGCTTCTCCGCCATCCGGAGTCGTTCCTTGTTCGGAAGTATGAATTGCAAAAGTATCGCACTCCTCGTATATTAGATGCATTACAAATTTCCTCAGCATGGATAGTAAAATTTGTAAATGCGGATTTACCTTAAGAAAAAGATTCGTGACGCATGCTTGCAATTACTACGACGAGTGCGATGCTTTTGCGGTTCATAGGAAGCTTTCGGCTGTCGTGGTCCTCCTTGTCGGCCGAGTCTTGCTCGAGCTTCCTCTGCTCGTTGAGAACTGCCAGTTCCGCCTCGAGCTTTTCCTGCTCTTGCTTCTTTTTCTCAAAATACTGCTGTCCGGATTTCTCGAATTTGTGCTTTATCTGACTGAACTTTTCCTCGTACTGCTCTAACGAGATATCCTCGTCCTGAACATTGTCCAGAAACCACAGCTCTAATTCGTCGAATTCTTTCAGCAATTGCTTACCCTTGTCGTTTATCAAATGCAAAAATGTCTGGGTCTGGAACTGGAAGAATGCGAGATTTGTCATGCATATTTCTTAGACCCATGATGCCTGTAATGCATGGTCTAGCATCGCAGACTTTTAGAGGGCTTCCTGATGCACCTTCCGCATGAGAAATGCCCTGTCCGTGTAGCACAAATTGTGCCCCTTTTGCTGGTCATGCACTACAATTTTTTTTTAGAGTCGACAAACAGCATGACAAGTTGCATCCTTCCAGACCCAGACACTTTTACATTTGATATCGTTTTTCTCTTCCTCACTCGCGTCTTCACCCGCGTTTGGATTTGTGAACAGGGTATTTTCCTTCGAATCCTGCAAAATCCTCTTCCCCTCGAACAGATACGCTTCCAATTTGTTCAGCGCTTCGAGTCTCGCCGTTTCTTTGTTCTCGACTCCTTCCATCTTCGCTTCCAACGCCCTTATCGTTTCTTCGTCGGCAGATGTTGCACTGATCCCGAAGATCTTCGCGCTGTCGAGGGTTGTGTCCAGTAGAAACTTCTTCCCCAACGGCCCCGCGCGTAGACAAGCGCCGGTCGCGACCGCAGAACTCCCGTCAAGGCCCCGGCCGAGGGTCGTGGTAGCGCCAGTTGCTGCTGACACCGCAGACTCGATGGTGCTAGCGACGATAGGGATCCGGACACCACCACCGACAATTTCCACGTGGAGCTTCTTGTTTGATGAAGAAGCAATGTCGTTGTTGCCAACATCTACTTCATCTCCGCCTGCAATTTTTACAGCCGGTGCTGCGACGTCTTTTACCAGTTCTTCCAGTAATTTAAGCTCCTTTTCTAGTGCGTGTTCCAAATCGGCGCGTTTCAGGTCCAAGTGGAAGTCGACGTCGTCGTCCAGCCAACACTCCAGGTTTACGCTGGCTTCTGGGAGCATGGAGAGCTCTTTCTATCCTATGTAAAAACGTCCCCACCCCATAGTTGTCATGCTAAACTGTCATGCTCGAAATGTTTCTCATGCGGATCCCCATGCGAAACATTTTCTCATGCTATCTGGAAGTTTGTGATGCTGGAATCAGGATAAAGTAGTCGATTTGTCATGCGGCTGCACTACCTCAAACAGCACGACTACACTACGAGTCTAAACTTGTTATGCGAAACAGCCAAAACTTGTTGATTTGTGTAGCAAAATCACCATCTTGACTATGGTGCGGGGACGTAGTTTTTACTCAGGATACTTTCAACGCCTTGGTCATCGCTTGTTTTAATTTGAACCCCTTCTTGCTGCTGATACTGTAATATGCAGTGCAAAAGCATCGTGCTCGTATTTTGCAATCATGCATTACAAATCTCTTTCTTAAGCTAAATCAGCATTACACATTCCATTTCTCATCATGCTGAGAAAATTTGTAATGCTATTCATACGTAGTACAATGCTTTTGCAATTGATATGTAACTCTGCTTGTACTTTTGTTCCGCGTGCTCTAGACCGCGCTTTGTCAGCTGCTCGATGAAGTTGTAGACGGAAAGGTTTTTCGTTGCCTATCAAATGTAAAAATGTCTGGGTCTGGAGACTTGTGATGCTGGGTGGCGTCTCATGATGAGGCCACAAGTGCTGGCTCATCATGACAAGTTTCTGAGCTTCTAGGTGTTGCCAATTCCGCATGACAAACTGCGCTTCTGCATCACAGAAAAATGGAGCTCTTGGGTAACGTGCATGACAGATTTAAGAGTCATGCCAGACAAGCATGACAAACATGCACTCTTCCAGACCCAGACACTTTTACATTTGATATTGCCTGCTTTTTCACGATTTTCGCCACGATACGCTCTTTGGTCGGGTCCGATTTATTTTCGTTCGTTTCAGCGTTGTATCCTGTGCAAAAGTATCGCATTCGTATAAATGCAAGTCTTGCATTACAAATCTTGTTCCCAAGGCAAATCTGCATTACAAATTTTATTTCTCATGCGGGGGAAATTTGTAATGCATTTATACGAGTACGATACTTTTGCAATTCATACGTTGCTTTTCTTTTCCGGAGAGCTGTCTTGCTCCACTTCCATCTTGTTGTACGAGTTATTCTCCTCTACTTCGCCTTGGGTGTTTTCTGCTTCTTTCCTTATCTCCACTAAAGTCGCGGTGGTCTGCGAAAAACCGACATCAATCAGCAAGAGAAACTGTGCATCGTTTTGTTCGATTTTCTCCGGCTCATCTCCCGAGTTTTTGTTGCAGAGAGCTAGCTCCTCCTCAAGCCTCTTTTCGTACTTCACCAACCACTGCGTCGCCAGCGCCTCGCTGTGGTAACAAAGCTTCAGGTTGCTTTTCTCCTTGGGGAGGAGGGTCTCCGGGATCAGCTTCAACGCATCGGCAAAGGTTTGCGTCGCGGAGTTTTTGTCGTCTCCTGTCGTGTCAAAAAAATCCGGGACCGCCAGGACAACTTCCTCGTGACCGGCCGTGGCGCCCTAGTGTTTTATTTTTGTGCAAAGTTTGTCATGATGCTGCAGAACAAGCGTGAATACAAATCAGGTTTGTCTTGATGGTATTGGTAACAACTGCTACACAGTACTTACATCTTCGATCTGTATGATGTGAACAGCAAGGTTACACAAAGACGGTGGCTAAGGTACTATCTATTTATACCTTCACATGCCTCAGGCTGAGCAGCTTCTTCAAATAAAGGCCGAACAAATTTCCGAGGGTATTACAGTGAAAAATGCCCCCACCCCCAAAGTTGCAAGAATTTCTGATGCGAAGTTTTCAAATGAAAACTTTTTGTCGTGCATGAAAGGAGTATGAATCTTTCTAATGCAGATTCTAGGCGTATATCGCATAACTTGCATGACAAGCGCCGCTCTTGCTGGGATCTTTTGCAATACAAATTTTTGCTATTCACGATTGGACGTCTATGATGCTGATAGATGCAAGAGGGCGAATGTTTCATTTGGGAAGGTTTGCAATACAAATGCTCCCGACGATTCGGGGGTCGTGGGGGCATTTGTCATTGTCATAGAGGGGCACGCTCTCGATCACTTCGTTGTCGAACTCGATGTTTTCTGTGCTCCAAAACGTGCCATACCGCTCCACACAGCTTATGACAATGCACAACTCCCTCTCCCCCTCGTTTGTCATGCAAAATACCAAATCCGCCCTATTCTCTTTGGCACTTCTTGCATGACAGGTTTCAGAAGCCGAAACAGCACTGGAATCGGTCGCAAATTTGTCATGCAAAAGCTGCATTTATGCCAGCACTTGTGTTGCTGCTTATAATGCCCTTCAAATGAAGGGGAGGGGGGGTTGTGCACTGCTCTCATACAGCTTTCCTTTCCTTCAAAAACCGCCGAGGCGAGGTGGGTGTAGGTCTATCAGATGGAAAAACGGCCCCACCCGATGAAAGCTGTCATGCAAAAATACATGCTCGAGAATGTTTCTCATGCGGAGCCCCACGCGAAGCGATTTCTAGTCGTGTTTTGGGATTTGTAATGCTCCAAGCAGCATAGTAAGCCAGGTTTGTGATGCTTCTGAGCGAGCTACTGCACAAGATTGCACTACGAAAAGCCGAACTTGTCATGCGCAACAGCCTAAGCTTGTAGACTTGTGTAGCAGATTTCTCATCTTGACTACTTATCCGGTGGGGGCGTTTTTCCTCAGGATAAGGTCTGCTTGGGGTTCTTGCTGACGAGAGACTCAGCGGCTTCGCCGATCACCCGCTGCCGGTTCTCCAGGGATACGACCTGGTGTTTGTGTTGGGTTTTAGCATGTTGACTCATGTTTGTACTCGGTGTGCTAGCTTCTCCGCATTACAGATCCATGACGCCGTGTACTAGCTTACAGATACTTAAGTACATGATGTGATGTTGGGTTTTAGCATGACACATGTCGGTGTACTAGCTTCTACGCATTACAGACAAACAAAACAAAGAATACGCTGGGCGTCGATCGGTTGGCAAGGTCGTTCACATCAACGCTGACGACGTGGGGCTCGTTCACGGGCGCGGAAGCGCAAACGGAATGGTGCGCCCCAAGATCCACACCTCGGAAGACTGACGTCATTCTGCTAATTTAGTTCTTCACAGGATTTTATGTGCTTGTTTTTGAGAAGTTTCTGTAAGAGCACGTCTCTAGTACTGCTACCGTTTCTTCTAGAGAACAAGCTGAAGTGCACTACTAGTGAGGGACCTTGCTAAATGAAAGTTGCACTTCACTCAAGAATCTTCCGGAGCTTCAAGTTCGATCAGTTTGTCGCTGGCCTGAGGTAGGTATGTAGAAGTCCTTTATCACCTTCTATGAGGATGAAAGGATACCAGCCAGTACGGAGCAAAAAAATCGTCGCGGTCCTCGCAGTGGATCTTCTTGTTCTGAGAACCGTTGTGAGGCTGCGCCCTTGTGTCTTCTTTTTCATCTGATGTTATCCGCATCTTCACAGCAGTCTTATTCCATCTATGGTGACGCTTCTTAGATGAAGTAGCTCCGTATCGCTACAGGGCGCAGGTGGTCCTCATTCAAGATCTTCCACAACAACAATTTGTTTTGTCAAAACAAAAAACTTGAGCACCCGCCGCTACTCAGTACTTCTCGAGCAATTCTTTGTCCAGCGTATGTAGAAAGTAAAATCCCAAAGGGAAGTTTGAATAGAGCACAGTAGCAGGGCTCGTATGAAGACAAGATCTCTTTTTTGTAGTTGACCCGGCGAATCACAAGTGAAGATCTTCTACGAACCTGAACTTTGTGGTCCTGCTTCTTGTCGCTATCATGCAACTCGGTTGCAATGGTCTTTATCACGCGACTTAAACTTATACATAGCAGTGGAACTGCAGTAGAGTTGACACCTCCGAGCATGTGAAGCAACGAACATTTTTCGCGTTGTCCTGCCCTGCAGCAGAAGCAGAAGCAGCAGCAGGGCGCAAGACGTAGGTCTTCGTAAATTACCAACCAAAGGATTACGCTTTCTTGCTTTCGCAGAATCATGCAGTTTTAGACTTGACGCCTACATTCGAGAAGTACCACACTTCTCGTTGATCACTCCGGTTGGAACTACATCATAAGTACTTTTACTACTCAGTTAACATCCTCTGCTGCTACTGTTGAGGGCTTTCTCTGATGGCTGTACAACAAGTTTCCCACCTACAGATCGAAATTTTTATGTGGTCTCAACAATCTCACTTAACCTTAGCGCGGCTACAGCTGCAGGCAAGAAACTACTGACGATATAGAAATTATACATCAATACGAGTTCGTCGTTTTCTTTTGTTTTTTTTACTCTACTGTCCATGCCCCACGGCTGGAAGAAAATCTTTGTGATGTTGCGGAAAACGAATCCCGTTCCCGTGTTTAACTTTAAACTCTTTCAAATCTTAAACTTAAACTTCCTGCTACAGCACATAATTGTTGGTCTCAATCTACCGCAGCGAGGTTACTAGCGGGAGAGCCGTGATAAAAATACCTCAGTACTTCTGCATTACTACGGACCGCGCGCTCGCTGCTGTCGATTGGCAAATTGATCATCCACGTTCTGTAAACAACTTTCCCTAAAATTTCATGTAAATTGTGTTTCTTTTGCTCCAACTGCCGATGCCGAAGGCTGGCTCTTATAAGCCACATACGTACGAAGCTCTTCAGCGGCAATCTCGAAGTATTTTTACCATCGCTCAGGCGATGGAAATTATCTATTTCTTCGTTTGCCGTCCTCTTCGCACGAACTTCCACAAGAAATAAGTCCTCCGGCCCGTTGGTCCTCCGGTCCGTCGCGGGTTCTCTTTTCCTCTACGTCCTGTAGCAGACTAGTTGCCAACTTCGCCGCTAAGCTTGAGGAGAAACGCTCCTGAAGGTCGACTGTCGGAACCGCGACCGGTCAAAACAAAAAACTTGAGCACCCGCCGCTACTCAGTACTTCTCGAGCAATTCTTTGTCCAGCGCATGAAGACAAGATCTGTTTTTGGTTCACCCGCCGCGGGCCACAAGACGTCAAGTGAAGATCTTCTACGAGACTGAGCTTTGTCCTGCTTCTTGTCACTATGATGGGACTCGTGGCAGTGGAGCTGCAATACATAGCTTTGACACCTTTGACCAAGCGAATCAAGGAACATTTGTGATGTCCTGCCCTACGCCGGAGATAGTGCTGCTCACGGAGTAGGTCCTCGTCGTGAATCACCAATCATGGGATGACAAGTTTCGGTTTCCAGGCTTTCCTTTCCGTAGAAAAATCATACAGTTGCAGCATTCTCGTTGTAACACGGTGTCTACGATCGCAAAGTTGTACCCCTCTTCTCGCTCTCGTTGTGGTTCTTTCATGTCTCCAGCTGTTTTACGTATCGGTAAAATTTTCTGCTCGCGGTGCTCTGCTTTGAGATCCGATCGTGCTTCACGTGGTTTTTCAACTTCTACAGGTTGAAAAAATCATGTTTCAGCAATCTCATTCATCCTTGGCGGCGGGACTGCGGCTGCAGGTGCGGGCAGCACAGTAGTGACGAACAAATTATACAGGAAAATAAATATAGATACGATTTGGACTTTGTAGTGCTGTCTTTTTTTTTTACTCTACTGGTACTGTCCGTACATAGTGCAGCATGTCTACGAAGAAACTAATAAATCTTTGTGAGGAGGCGCTGGCGGAAAACATTTCCGTTTGTAGTTCCTGTCGTGAGACAATAATTTTTCCAAAACTACTTAATCTTAAACTTAAACTTCCTGCTACAGCGTAATCGTTAGTCTCAACCCAGTGCAGCGAGCATAGCGGGAGATCCGTATGTAAAAATATTTTACTCTTGCGGACCGCGCGCTCGCGGCTCTCGGTTGGCAAAGGGAGCGATAATTGATCATGAACGTAGTTCAGTCTTTATTTGAAATTTCAACACATCAGGTCTTAATAGTGCTTTTCATTTTTTCCGCGTTTATCTGCTCAGCACCGGCATTCATAGACGGCATACGCGGCACGATAGTTTATATAGAGGACTCACTTCGGCGGGTGGTCTCGAACAAGTACTTACTTATTTTTACCATCGATCGGCCGAACATACAACCCATTGTTGTTCTATCGATCTCTAGCCTCCGCCGAAAGTCATCTTTTTCTTCGTTTGCCGTCCTCTTCGCACGAACTTCCACACGAAAGTCCTCCGGCCCGTTGGTCCTCCGGTCCGTCGCGAGTTCTCTTTTCCTCTACGTCCTGTAGCATATGCATTGCAAAAGTATCGTACTCGTATAAATGCATTACAAATTTCCTCAGCATGACAAATAAAATTTGTAATGCTGATTTACCTTAAGAACAAGATTTGTAATGCATGATTTTTTTTTTTTTTTCATTGGGCCCCACTCCGTGTCTTCGCATATAAATTCATCTCTAATTTAGGATTTGTAATGCATGATTGCGAATACGAGTACGATACTTTTGCACAGGATATAGCAGACTAGTTGCCAACTTCGCCGCTAAGCTTGCAGAGAAACGATCCTGAAGGTCGACTCTCGGAACCGCGACCGGACGATGATCCTTGTGAGACGAGCGAGAGAAACTCGTCCGACGATCCCCGCCGGCGCGACGTTGACGAGCGTCTTCTTCCCGCACCAGCAGCGCATCATCGTCCACCACGGTCTGTTGCAGAAGGCCGCACTCAGCTGCCTCGTCCGCAGTCAGGTCGGGAAGCTTCTTTTGTTCGGGAGTCGTCTTCGGTGCACGAGGGACATCTTCGGGGCAGCTGCTACCGGGACAAGCAAACGCACGCTTGGAGGTCGGCTTCATAATTGGGGAGCTGCGTTGATCCTCCACCTCGGGGGTGGTCTGCCTATCCCTATGCGAGGCGGGATGAACGTCAGAGGAGACTAAGTGGTCAACATCACCACTGTGCAGCCCCTTTTCGTTCGGCGGCGAGCTCGCGGGCAGACCGGGAAAAGGACTTTTTACGGGCGGCACGGACGAGTGGGAACCGACTTGCAACGTAGTAAGTAGGCAGACGTAGAACTGGAACTCTAGAAGGAACGCCAGAGCTAGTTCACGACCTAAAAACGCCGACAAGAGCAAGAACTTCCGGTGTAGAAGAAGTTGTAACAAGTAGACGCTCAACGTTTTGCGTCGAAAGTTGAAGAAAACAACGAACAGCTGCAGCAACAAGATGAAGGTGAAAACTTCGCCCCCGGTGTCGCCCATGAAGGAGGTGTTTCACTCACCGGACGACACCAGCAACGTTGATCTGCCTGGAGTTTTTGCGCCGTCCGTGTTGTCTTCAGCCGCTGTTCCTCCAGGTCGAGCCGCAGAGGAGGAGAGTAAGACCACAACTGGTGGAAGATTAAATCAAGAGGAGCAGCTTACTGTGAGGAAAAATCCCCCCTCCCCATGTCGAAAACGAAATCTGTGATGCTGTATTTGAGTACACAAATCGACGGGCATTCTTGGCAGAAGGCGGAGAGACGCAGCTGTGGCCTGAAGACCTGCAAGCAGTTTGTCATGCTGTTTCTTCCTTCCAGTTGTCTCCTGTCATGCTCAAGATGCAAGGTTGATTTCCCACGCCAGCCACCATGACAGTCCGCATCTTTTGCCTTCTAGCATGACAACGTGAAGAACAAGACTCGTGGTCGCCATTTATGCTACACAAGTCAAAGTCTCCATTTCAGTATGGGTAGGGGGGATACAGTTTCGTTTTGATACAGCAGCAGCCCTTCACCCCGCAGTCGGGTCTGATGGGTGTGGCAAGCAAGGAGAGCAAGGAAACCTCCGGTACTGAAGATCGCAGCAAGTTCAGTCCGAAAGCAAGACCACCCGGAAGTAGTAGTAGTAGTAGAACCGCGTGGGGTACACCTACTACTGCCCAACAAGACCACAAAAGCGCGGAACAAGCAGGAGATCGGGAGCCGCCTAGAGCAAGTAGTCCACCAAATAAAAGCTCATCCTCTCCTGCTGGCGGACCCACAAAAAATGCTGGGGCGGTAAACACGGTTGTACTAGCTTCTACTAAAGCTGCATCTTCACCAGGATCTTCTTCATCTCCAGTGGCGAAGTCGACGAAAGGTTGAGCGACGGCTTCGAGTCGGGTTTCCTTCAACGACGACCTGGAATCCACTCGAGAGGACGCGACCGCCACACCCACACCGCAGGCTGCAGCAAACGTCGCCGGTGAAACAACTACAAGTAGACGTTCTGAGTCTGACCGGTTTATCAGTACTAATAATGTTGTCCAGCAGCCAGCTATCGCAGGAAAAAAGTGTTACAGTTACACATTTGTTGGAATATCAGCATCACAAATTTGCTCTGCATGGAGAAGGAAACTTCTAATGCGCAGACTATAAGGGAAAATAACACGGACGATAGAATGAGGCTGGCAAGCGTTTCCTGCATGACAGAGATTGTCTGTCTTGCTTGTTGTCTTGCATGAGAGTGTGTACTTAACTGTAACACTTTTTTCTCAGGATACCAGCAAGCACAAGCACCTCGATGGCAAACACCAGCACGGCAGGTGCCAGGATAAAATCTTCCGTATATGAACTGCAAAAGTATCGTACTCGTATAAATGCATTACAAATTTCCTGCTCAGCATGAGAAATAAAATGTGTAATGCGGATTTGCCTTAAGAGCAAGATTTGTAATGCATGACTGCAATACGAGTGCGATACTTTTGCACAGGATACCGAAACTACTACGAGCAGCAGCATCAACCCCGCCTCCTCTGCCGTCCCGTATGCACTGCAAAAATGTCTGGGTCTGAAAGGATGAGACTTGTTATGCTGTCTTTGGATTCTAGAAAAATCTGTATTGCAGCGTAAGCCGCAAGAGGAGTCCAGTTTTTGTACACGCGGAAAGGGCAACATTTGTCATGCGGTATAGGCAACATCAGGAAGCCCTCACAAAATCTGTGATGCAGCTAGCGCATACGTCACACATATCGTGGATCATGCAAAATGTGCATGACAAGTCCTCCAATCTTCCAGACCCGGACATTTTTCCACTTGACATCCCGTCACGAAGTACGAATCTTTCGTCCACCGCGGCCACGGGCACCCGCCCGTCGACCCTTTCTTCCGGGGCGGGTATTTATCACAATCCGCCTCCCTCGGGGGCCTCGTCCGCAGCCGCACAGATTGCCGTGCCCCAGGGCAGCGTCGAGGCCGCCACTGCGGCCCAGGCCGCGAGTCGCGGGAAGCAAGCGTTCAGTTACGATGTCGGGTCCATGTATCTGACCCTGGGCATCCTGCCCACCGACTCCCTCATCTCCGAGCTGGAGCAGTTTGGCGTAACGCAGAAGAACAGCAGCGATTCCGGGGTGGAACGGTCCCGAGACCACGTCGACGCGCGCCTGGACCCCAACCGTTTCATATTGCACTGAAAAATGCCCCCACCCCGGAATTTGCAAAAGTTTCTCATGCATAAGGTTTTCAAATGAAAAACTTTTTGTCTATGCATGAAGGGACTACGAGTCTTTCTGATGCAGAATCTAGGTGCGCAAGGTATCTTCTGCCTGACAGATCCGGCTGCTGTTGGGCTCCTTTGCAACACAAATTTACGCTATTCAGCATGGAAAATTTGTGATGCTGATATATGCAAGACGGGGAAAGTTTGTATTGGAAAGGTTAGCAATGCAAATGCTGCCAATTTCTGAGGTGGGGGCATTTTTCATTGTAATACTTCAGCCAATTAACCGGGAAAAAGCTTTCTGCCAAGGAAAAATTTCGGCGAATGTTCAAGAGCATGGCTGTCTCGCACGCGGACAAGCTGCGCAAGGAGCTGTTTCGCTTGGACTTGTGCTTGCACCGGCTCTATCAAATGCAAATATGGATCTGGGTCTGGAAACTTGTAATGCTGAGTTGTGAATAGTGATTTCTCGTCTGTAATGCGCAGCCAAGCGTGAGAAATATTTCCGCGCCGGCTTCGTGTTGCGCTTTTCGCATGACTTTTTACGGGCGGCACGGACGAGTGGGAACCGACTTGCTATCGATTGGTTCAGCTCCAACCGCTATCGATTCTTGCTATGCATGACGAACTATTATTCATATTTCCTTTTTGCTGATTAATTTCCCACCTGACGTTTCCATATTCGAACAGCTTTTCGCACACCAGTCCTTCGTCTCCTGATTGGACACCATGCCACTCCCATCCGCGTCCGCACCCGCACGCAAAAGTAGCTGCGAGGAAAATTATTTGTGAAGCGATGACATGCTGATGCAAAGGAGCGATTACAAGTGAAGCGCAAAGACCAAATTAGCGGCGACGGCCGCTTCGTAGTTGTACTACAAAGTAGTTATTTTTACGAAGATTTTTATTACTATATTAGTTATAGAGATAGCGTCTACTATAGTAAGTACCACATTCCGGGACGCCTTGAAGATTTCCAGGACGCTGGCAATCGGCGTCAGCGGATCATTCACCACCTGCAGTGCGAGCGTCACGTTCGCCGAAAACACAGGCTGTGGCGGATCCTCACCCGTGGAAACCTTCTTCGTTTGCGCGAAAGAACGCGGGGAGGGGGAGTTCTCGACGGAGCCCGCTTCTTCCGCTTGAGCCGGAGGAGCCGAGGGGGTGTGCATCTCGCCGAACACGAGGGCCGCGCCCGACAGTAGAACCACCGGAACCAGCTTCGAAGTAGAGATCGTCCACACAACCATTTTGAGGCTGGCTTTTGTCAAGACAAGAAGTGTCGAAAAAAAACTCTAGTGGTAGTGTTCGTGCCAATTTTGAAAAATAATGCGGATAAGCTTGCCACGCACATCAGGAAATAAGACCAAGTCCAAGTAAATCAATGACTACAAGAAATATCATTTTCATGCCTTCAACGATAACGTTTGCAAGAGCAGAATGCTGTGTACAGGGCTCCGCTCTCCTTTCAACGATGTTTACGACGAACTACAAGACGCTGTGTTGTCCACACGTTGTACGAAATTTTGTTTGAGACGCTGTTGGTATAGAAAAGAGTGCTTCTCCGTCGTCACGATCACGAGCATGACGAGTATGATACTGCTATTATACTTTAGTACTACTCCTTGCATTATTTTCACGACACCTACTTACAGCAATCGAGCAATCTTCCAACGAATTCACGACCGACTTCAGTCACCACAACGACCTAGCCCCTGCACGAACCCTCCCTCCCACGATTTATTTCTGTCAAGCTGCTTGTGCTTTTGTACTTGAAACAGTACGCAGCAATTGAGGACTATACACTTTTGCACTGAACTGCTCGCTTAGGTAGGTGAAGAACAAAACGCCTCCGGCCTGTCAAGTCCTTGCTACATCTAGTAGTAGACAACTTTTCTTTTTGTTGTAATTCATGTGTTTGAAAAAATGTCCGATGGTTATCAAAAATCGTGAATGTATTGATTGACTGTTGCAAGTACTCACTCAGGAGAAAAAACATCAGAAGTTGTGCCGATGCTCGTCTCATATTTCATCACGCAATCTGTTTACAGAGGTCGTAGAAATGCGAGGGCGCGGCAGGACTTATTATGTTTAGCAGTAGAACCTAGTAGTACCTATCAAGGTTTAGTTCGAAGCTCAAATCTATGTCCAGGTCCGTCGCAATCCTGTACAAAACAGCGTTGGTGTTTTCCAAAAACGGATCCAGTTCGTTTTCACCCGTTCCGCTTCGATCATTGTCGATCCCTTGCTCGTCCATAGTGCAGCTGATGTCCTCGGCCGGGCTGGAGCTGGACTTTTTACGGGCGGCACGGACGAGTGGGAACCGACTTGCCTTATGTGATATATTCCCTGCTTAAAATTAAATTATTTCTGTGCACTATGCGTGAACAAGATGGTCGGCGTCGGGTAGTTTTTCTGTTGCATAAAACGCCAAACATCACCAGCAATTCTGCTACCGTTCGCAGTGTGATGCGCCGCCCAAAAGACGCAGGACCCCCGCCCGCCCCTGCCCCCGACGTTTTTGCAGAGGAAGAAGTACAACTATTGGCGCCATTGCTCCCTCCGGATGGATATGGAATGCAAATATGCCTGGGGCTGGAAACCTGTAATGCTGAATGGTCATGATTTAATGTGCCTTTAAGTGCAGTGCAGCATGACAAATTTTCCAAGCGCTTTCTGATGCTTAGCGCGAATTACAAACTGCGACTTTTCATGACGAAACTGTGGCGCTTTTGATGCTTTTATGCAATACAGAATTTCCAGGAATGCTGGACACGCAATACAGGTTCAACCTTTCCAGACCCAGACACTTTTGCATTTGATAATGGATGAAAAGAAGCAGCTGTACCGGTATTCGCTTTGTTCGGCGAGGCACCGAATTGTTGAGGACCGGGTCCAGGATGATTCGCACCATAATTCTTTCCCAGCGAAGTAGAGCCTGATCCTGCCGTTGTGCTAGTAGTAGAAGAAGTACTTCTCGTAGTTGTTGTGTAGTACTTTTTCAAGAGCGTTTTCAAGTCCTGCAAGCTGGCGGTTTCGACCTTCAGCTGTTTTAGGAAATAATTCCGCTCCTCTTCCATCTCTTCCTCCTGTTTTTTCAGCATGTTGTGCAGCCGCAGCATGCTGTTCAAATCCTGATCTTGTCCCGACGCGCCGGTTCTACTGCCTGCCTGCGTCCAATCCTCCTCGCTGTACCCAGAATTATGGCCCCCTGGGCCGCCTCCCCTGCCGCCCCGGTTGAAATTCACCAACGCATTGGTTACCAAACTCTGCCGCGCTAGCCCATTCTGCTTGGACACCGGCGCATTGTCAGTCGACCTGCTTGCAGATGCGCTGTTGTCTGAGCTACCGGAGTGGAGGTTTGTTCCGATACTACCAGTACCGCCTAGCAACGCGTTGTTGATCATGCTGACGCGTTTGCCCCGAAAATCAAACCGGGCCTTCCGCACCTGGGCAAGCTTCTGGTTTTGTGCAAACACCGCATTCGCGGGCGACCCGGGAATGGCGACCTGAGTGTACATCAACAAATAAACGTTGCATGGTTCACCTCGCAGAAATGATCTGGAACAATGGCATCAAAGAAATAGAAGTGGTGAGGGCTCGCTTTTCAGAAACTACACTTGTACCGGTTGACATGACGTCGGAGGTCTGAGGGCAGTCGGTGCCTTTTTGGTTGACATGACAAAATTTATGTCATCGGAAATGAAAAAGTCGACCACAATATGAAGTAAGTACGTCGCCCCCGTAACTCGCGAAGTAATCTTGCCACGACCCTCCGCACAGCTCTTATTGCAATGAAAAATGCCCCCACCCCCGAACTTGGGAGCACTTGTATTGCAAACCTTTCCAAATGAAACATTCGCCCTCTTGCATCTATCAGCATCACAGGTTTTCAATCGTGAATAGCAAAGGTTTGTATTGCAAAAGCCCCCAGGAAGAGCGGCTCTTGTCATGCAAGCGATTCTATATATGCCTAGACTCTGCATCAGAAAGATTCGTACTCCTTTCATGCATGACAAAAAGTTTTCATTTGGAAACTTCGCATCACAAATTTTCGCATTACAAAATCTGTATTGCAGGACCGGGAAAAGGACTTTTTACGGGCGGCACGGACGAGTGGGAACCGACTTGCTGGCCATCATCCACCTGGTCATCGTCTGCGCCAAGTCGTGGCGGTCCCCGTCGTGCTCTCGACGACGCAACAAGATCAACATCCTCAGTAGACCGCCGCTTTGATCCAGCGCTAGAAGTTGGAGGTGCTGTACCTCCAGAGCCCGCGTAAGCCCGTCGTGGTGGTGCTGCTTTTGGATTCTTGTTTGCTGATCTCCTCGTCGATTCTAATCGTGCTGCGGAGACCACGGAAGGAGTCACGGCTACACCAAAAAATCCTCCGTGTTGACCACCTGCACCAGCAATTGGTACATTGCGATCCACCTTTACGTGCCCCCCATTCATCATGGTCGCATCGTCGACACAACTTCCTCCAGAACACCTGCCTTGCTGCAACGCACCTTGGCCGGCGGCGCTTCCTGGACAGCTCTGCTTCAACATCGCGTGTTGGCTGAGTCCTGGCTGGACAAGGTCCACTCTAAGTTGTAATGGCTTTACTTTTTGGTAGTTTCGCTGGCCTTCAGACGAACAAAATCCAGGTAGAAGTGGTTCCTCACTGCCTGACGAAGGCGACGTCGAAACCTCCATATCCGTCACTGGCGACATTGTCTCCGAGTCATGCGGCGTAACCGTCATTGGAGTCCTCGAGGTGGTTGCAATTTTCTTTTCGTCTTCCAGCCCGAGCTTCTTCAGCCTTTTCGTTATCTCCTCGACTTCATGATCTTTGAACTCGCGGGTAATTGAAGACCCATGTTGATTTATTTCAGCTGGTCGAAAAAGAGGTACAGTGCTCGTGAACGTAAGTCTCACTGCGGTTGCGAACAACGGGCAGTGGCGATCAAAAGAGAACGTGGTAAAAACCAAAAAAAATCCAATTTGGAGGAGTAACATCAACATCTTCATACAGCTGTTTTTTTATTACCCAATTTCGAGCTGAAGAATTAATAGTTTGACAAGCTACGATAAATTTCGTGCGGAACAAATGGAAATGATAGATGTTAGTACAATAATAAGCAATACCTTGTACCAGTACCGAGATTGAGATAGAAATCGTTATATAATCAATACTACGCAACACAAACTACTACACAATTTTTGGCCCTCCAGTTCGACACACAGCCCTGCTACTTGTGAGTGCAACTCTTGTAGGGATTGGTACTGTTGTCAATACGATGAGGCAGCTTACAAACTACATTCAGGAGGGTTCTTGGTACTTAAGTACTCAACGTGCAAAAATGCAATACATTTACAATTTGTGTCGGCCGATCTCGATCGGACTTCGAGAACATTTCAATCAAAGCATTTAAAATTGCCTCCGGAACCGGGAACCAACAGTGAAGATCCAGCGGATCCTCGATAAGATCTGATCCACCAGGCCACAAGATCGTGAATTGTAGGGGAACGAGGCAGTGATTTTCGATCACGATCTTGCACGGAAGCGATCAACACATTTTTGTTTTGAAATCATCCCAAACGAGTTTCTCTTGCGGTTTGAGTAATAAAGATCTGCGAAAAATGCAACTGTGCATGAAAGCCGCACAGGATGACTTTGAACTTTTGCAGCCGCCACGCACAAATATTACGGCACAACATTCTGTTTTCGGATCACAACATGCGGAATCATATGACAACAACATAAATTTGAACAGCGTGAGGCGCAATGTTGCTGATCCGGCCCGGATCGGTATGGGTTCTAGTTGGCCCGTTTCCCAGCATTTTTTTCTAGAATGAATCAATCAATCAATCGTTCTTTAATGCACTAGCCTTTGTCTATCACGAGCGGAAGATTTCTCTAACTCTCACGACGGAACGCGCGACCAGTGTGCGGGCCCGACTTTTCACGCTGAGAAACCGCACACGCACAGATTGTGTACGGCCCACCTGGCAAGAGCCCACCGGGAAGACCCGAAGATCAAGAGCCCAGCAGGAAGCCCGGCAGCTAACAAACGCTAATTGATCAGGTGCGTATCCGGCGCAGTGAATCAATGGGGCCGATCATCATCGGTTCGGATCTAGGGCGCGATTCGAGCAGGTTCTGCGCCTTTGTCCACAATGTTTCTCCTTGTCAAGTCGTGATAGAAGAGGGCACTTCAAACTCTAAAAGGAAATTGCGAGACAAAGTAAAGGGGTTAAAAATACACTAAAAATAGCAAGGCTCTTCTCTGCTTTTGTTTTTTAAATTCACATAATAGGCTTTGTTGAAGTTTGCTTAAAGGGTCATTTCTAGAGCTGTACGTAAGCATTTTTGATTTGGATCAATACTACTTGCTGCTGAAACTTTGACTAAACCTTCAAAAACATTTTTCATGGACTACAGCCTCTTGCCACGCCTCACTATCAACTTCTTCTCTTCCCCTGCTTCTTAACTCCAGCCACTGACCCGGTACGTGGTTCTGGTTTTAACTTCCTTAAAAATCATCCCCCTCGAATAGGTAGAGGCTCTTCCGGCAATTTGGTATAGGGCTGTAAAATTCAAGGCAGAAGCTTATAGCTTGATCTGTACACGTGAAGCTTGGAACTAGATCGGGACTTGTTACTTTTTGCAGGTTTTTCTTGTAAAATCATACAATAGTGGACAAAATAGATGTTCCGCCCGTGGTACGACACGGCTCCCAAGCCGGGCGCGAGGCGCCAGGCACTGTGTCTAGGCATCCGAGGAGCCACGCCTTCCGCGCCACAAGGCGGCGCAAAACCTCGAGGCAATGAGGGCGCATGAACGGCACATCGAAGGGGCTGCGTGCCCCATTGATTTCCCCGAAACCCGGCGCGCCAGGGCTTGGCAAGCCACCGCGCCCCGCGCGCGCGGTTCGACAATGAACGCCGGAAAGCCTCGCGCCTGCCCCTGCGCGTCGGGGCGCGGCGGCGCGGGGGGAGGGCGTGGCGGCAGCCATTGCCCCATTGCCCCGGCTCCTGCGTGGGCGACGTACTCCGCCATGTAGGCGCAATATAATACGTAGGCGCAATGTAATGCGTGGCCATGGAAGTGCACTCAGTGTGGTCCGAACGCTCTGCAGTATGGAGCCCGCAAGCGCTTACATTGCTTGTCGTTAGCATGAGTTGCCACACACATGAATTTGGAATGCGGGAGTAGCAAAAACAACGAACGGGGGGGGGGCTTACGCGTCTCGCATTACAAACTCGGCACAGACTAAAGGCTGCCGCGTGGTGACTGACACTGAAGCTGTTGGCAATTTTGCATGACAGAGCATGTGACGGCAAACAGTGCAACGCTTGAGAGCGCCATACGTAGCCGGGGCGAAAAGCGGCGCGAGATTCTGCAGGAACTTGACAGCCTATCCAGTGCAAATGTGTCTGGATCTGGAAAGATGCAAGTCTTCAATCATGCGCATTCTGGAACAGACAAAAATCTGTGCTGCTGTTGCATGATTGTCAGCTGAGAAATATATACAACGCGCTGGCTGTGTTTGCTGAGGTGGGCACTTGCAATGCACACTCAGACTGTCAAGCTCTGTACGCATTAAGAACGACCGTCTTGCAGATGCAAAAACTGCATAAGCTACGCGCTGGGCTTATTTCCTTCCAGCAGAGGGCACAGACGCACACAGTTGCACTTGATACCGTTGACGGCTTCGCAGCCTCGATGTCCCTACGGGGAAACGCGGCGAGGCAGCGGACTCTTCCTGGCTGGAGACAATCAAAGCGCCACGGAGCCCCGAAGAAAACGAACCATCGTCGCGCGCAACGCGTTTGCCGGACTTACGCGTAGTGAGATCTTGTCTCGCAACTAGCTTTTTCAGGCTCCGATTGCTGATAACTTCAAATTTGTATTCGGTGATGGTGACTGCAAAAACAGAGAAGAATCTAGAAAGAAGATACTGCTTGAGAAACAGGACGTCGAAACGAAACAACTCTGCGTCTAGTGTAGATCGTCACAGCGAAGCAAAGTCTCAACCAGGATGCTGCTTTTCTTCTGCGAATGCAGCAATAGTCTTCTAAGTGGAGTCTTTGACTCTCTTTTCGCTCGCAAACACCCTCCTTGCGCACGATTGGAAAATACCTGGATGAAATAGCGCCTCAGCTCGTTGACCAACGTTCTTGCCCGGAACCCGCTCTAATACCTTTCTGACTTGGAGTGCGGGCAATTCCAATTGCGTTGCTTGCAACGAACACGAAGACTAAGAGAGACTCTCTTGCTTTATTTCCAGACGCGCCAAACTTCTATCCAAATGGACTTAGTGACGAATCCAAGGGGTTTTCATAGATTATCCGAAGATGGGACGTGCCCGCACGGGATCCGCTCTAAAAACTCATATAGTACGCCTTTTGCAGCCTTATTTCTTGATGTGGGCCGATTAGTTTTGATAGATTGGTCGCCTGCTTCTACTTGAACGCCTACTTCTACTTGAGCTTGAATTTGAAATTAAACTGATTCATATATAATTTTTTGGGTACTGGAGACAAATATAATGAAAAAACAGATTTTGCAGTAACGTTGTGTTGTACCTGTAGCTCATTGCTACAGGTTCTTTGAAAATTTCAGTGTGGACTACAATGATATTCAGTGTAAGACTTGCGTCTACTTCGAAGACGAAGAGTGCGGTCTCCCAGCTGTGCCTCAGCGAAAGTCCGCACCGTTCTCGCCAGTCGTGGGCCGGCTACTTGAGATTTTTATCAAACTTGTTGTTGCGCAGTCTCTGAACCACGGCACAGGTGAAGAGGATGAGTGATCTAGCTGCGGACGACAGTACGCAGGCAGAAAAAAATACAGTGCACATGGAGACGACCGCCACCGCCACGGCGTGCCGCTTCTTCAAATAAAACTGGTAGGTGCTTATTTCTTCTTGCCGTTATTTTTCTTCACCACATTCCCCGTTTTCGCTTTCGCGACCGCAGAAGACGAGGAAGCTGAAGAAGCAGATCCAGACGCCTTCTTCGAGCCCATTTTTGTGGTAGAAGAGGACGCGGCCACGACTGGGGCAGATCCGGGTCCAGACGATTTCTTCATGCTCATTTTTGTGGTAGAAGAGGACGCGACCACGACTGGGGCAGATCCGGGTCCAGACGATTTCTTCATGCTCATTTTTGTGGTAGAAGACGGGGCGAAAGCAGTAGCAGATCCAGCCGGTACTTTTTTCATACTAGTTTGGTTCACGGCCATTTTCGCGGTGGAAGACGAAGAGGAGGACGAGGACGAACCAGCTGCAGCGGCTTTCTTCATTTTTGCAGTAGTTTTTTTCATTACCTTATGTTCCTTGATGGTGTTCTTCTTCAAAAAATATGCATGTGCAAAGACATCGCCCAGCGCTCACAACTAGCACGCATTGCACGGACTATTCAGAAAACCAAATGGAAAATCTGTCATGCAGAGTATCTCTTGCAATGAGTGCGAGCGGCGCGTCACGACTGTTGCGGCGGATATCACCGAACTCCTCCCCGCAGCGACATTCGTTTTGTTTCCAGTTTTCGCACTGCTAGCTGGACCCGAGCTGCCAGTGCTTGCCTTGGCTGCGTTTTTGCTACCTGGTTTCGGTTTGGGTTTGCCAGATCCAGAACCCTTCGCGGAGCCAGACTCGTTACCTTGAGATTATTGTTTCATGATCAGGATTGGTGGGATGTTATTACAAACGAACCAACTCACGCGGATGTCGCCAGTAAGTACTACGTCGTGATCTTGCACTTGCGTCGCAATTTCTTCAAGTGCTACTGCCATTGATTCAGATTTCTACTGGTAGTTGTGAAAAGCGAAGTCTATAATATTGGAAAGTCTGTTTGAATGGAGATAGATCAAGTACATGGACCTGAATCAGAATAGTAAATGCCAACGCACTTTTTATATGGCTTGAGTCAAGATTTTTGTTTTTGTTCAGATTTGGGCTTTTACCTTTCGCTCCGGTATTGTTGTTTCCACCTTTCGCGCCGGACTTGGTACTGCCACCTTTCTATCAAATGCAAACACGTCTGGGTCTGGAAACTTGTTACGCAAGTGAATAACTCCCCCTCCCCCTCAAAATATTAAGTTTTGAATATTTATTTGGTTACCAAATAATGCACTTTTATGTCACCAAATATATACATTTTCGCGTCATCAAATCTTGCACATTTCGACTCCAAATGCGCAGCGTTTGCGTTGCTTTTTGTGCGACCAAAAGCGTCCTCGCACAGGTTTGCAGTCTGTCGTCAACATGTTGCGAAAGCTAATCAAGACGCTATAGGCTCACTCCCCCTCACCAAAGCTGCCCACTCCCCCTCATGAGGGGGAGTGACCCTATAACATCGTGATTACCCATCAAAATGTAATATTTTTTGTGGCTTTTTTGCGGCTCGCAGATTCGAGCTCAAAAAGTCGCTGATTTGAATGACAAAAAGTGGCTGATTTGAATGAAAAAGTGAGTACCTTTTTAATTTTTTTCTAGGAGCTAGACTGCACGCTATGGGCACGATTTGCCGGGCCCAAAACACTGCTAGTTTCGCTAATCACGATGCTATGGGCTCACTCCCCCTCACCAAAGCTGTCCACTTTCCCTCATGAGGGGGAGTGAGCCCATAGCATCGTGATTAGCTATCAAAATGTAATATTTTTGGGGCTCATTTCTGAGGTCGCTAAAAAGTAGCGGATTTGACAACAAAAAACCTCGCGACTTGGCGAGCATTTGCCAGAAGTCTGGCAACTTATCA